CAATGATATTTCCTGAGCATTGGAGAAATGTGATGTTGAAAATGATCTACAAGAAAGGAGATAAATCAAAGCCTCAGAATTATCGTCCAATTGCATTGCTTAACACTTTTAGAAAATTGTTTACTGGAATATTGGCAGATCGGTTGAGTCAATGGCTAATGGAATTTAATATTATTTCTCAGTTTCAGGGAGCATTTGTTCAAGGAAGAGGAACTATGTATAATGTTTTTATACTTAACGGGTTAATACAGTATGTTTTGTCAAGGAAAAGACGTAAAATTTATTCGATATTTGTGGATCTGGAGAAGGCGTTTGATAGAATTAATCTTAATATTCTGTGGCAAAAGCTATATTCAATAGGACTTTCAACTTCGTTTATTAGGCTACTTAAAAACCTATTTTGTAATACAAGGTATTATGTGAGTGACAACTTAACAACTACTAAGGGCGTTATTTCTGGTGGGGGCTTACCACAGGGAGAGCCTTTAAGTCCTTTGCTGTTTATATTATTTATTAACGATTTACCACAACTGTTCTCTACTTCAGAAATTTCGGGCTTTGCACTAGGAGATTCTGTTGACTTGCATTGTCTAATGTATGCAGATGACGTAATTTTGTTGGCAGATTCAAAGACGGGTTTACAGCGAAAACTTTCTTTGCTGGTTGATTACGCAGAAAGAAATGACCTCACAGTTAATTTACAAAAAACGAAGGGAATGGTTTTTCGCAATGGAGGTAGATTATCAAAATCTGACAAGATATTTGTGAATAATACTGAAATTCGATTTGTCACATATATTAAATATTTGGGAATACATTTTTCTTCATCAGGTACATTTAATCATCATTTTAGTTTGATAGACGAAGATATTCAGAAAAAGACAGGCTACATTCTCACTGTACAGAAACGTATGAAGCTAAACTCTATGAGAGGCATGTTTAGGCTTTTTGACGCTTTTATTGGTTCCAGGCTGTCTTATCTATTTCCGGTTTGGGGTTTGGAATATCTGTCTAAAATGGAAAAAGTTCAGATGAAATATTTTAAGAGACTTTTTAAAATAGAACGTTCAATTTCAAGTTCTGCAGTTCGTCTTGAGTTGGGAAGACCACCATTGGAACTGAAATTTGTTAAGGTTATTGTTTGGCGGGATTCTCAATGAGCGGCGGCATTTCAATAACACACAAACAACAGTAAACACAGTCGACTGGCTCCGTAATGGCGTTTGTGGCTTCCCAACAGATGTAGGTACACAGCGCACATGCGCTAAGTGCCGACTGCAGCGCTCCAGCAGCGTTATATTAAAACTGTATTTACTTTAAAAACACGCCTCGTAGTATCCTAAAACTCTGGTTATTCATTATTACTCACTTGTGGTCATTCACTAGCTCTCAACTGGTCAACTACTAGAGCCATATGGTCATTCACTGGTGATTTTTAAATTTTAAAAACATTGTCATTAATTTAATAAATATTACAGAAAATTAAAAATTCACTCTTTGAATGAGTAGTGCGAGTTCTTGATAATCAGCAATGACCACTACTTATGTTAAATGTCTGTTTGTTAAGTTATTATATAGAAATATTTTTATCAAGGTGCTTAATCAGTCAACTGGTGCAACTACCCTATTTGTTATGAAGCTTATTTTAAACTTTTTTTGTTTGAATAAAATTAAGTCAAAATGTCTGCAGATAAAATGCACGTTGGGCATATCATGCATGCTTTCTAAGTTTTGTAAAGGATATCATGCTATACAAACAGTAAAAAATACTCATACTGTGTACAGGGAAGATGCTTCTAAACTCTGAATGTGTCAAATGTGGTTTTGAAAATTTTATTTGGGAAATTTTGAGCTAAAAGATACAAAATGTATGGGTCCCCAGAAGCGGTTGAAGAGAAATTGCAGGAAGAAATTGTTAAAGATTGACAAGTAACAACTTGTGAATTTGCAACAAATCTTAGTGTGTCATATACACATATTATTGAAACACTTCATCCACTTGAAATGGTTGTAAAACATGTTGATGATTGTGTTCCACAAGCAGGTTTTTTTTTTCACTTATAGTCAATTCAGTTTGTTTTTTCATAATTTTGTCTGATGAAGGTAGGCAGCAGCTGCAAGGTATTATTTTTAGTTTTAAATTGGTTACTCATTTTTATCTTAGAGAACTTTTTTACGGATGAATGAAAAAATTAAAGTTAAAATAAAAATATTTGTTATTAATCGAAAATTTGTTTTAGCGGGTGGTGATTGTTTGGTCGAGTACAGAGGTACCACTATATTTGATTAATGCAATTTTGGTATATGCAGTAATTTTGAGAAATTTATTAATTTCATTAATCAAGGGGTACCTATAATAGGTAACTTGTATGTAGTGGAAACCTGTCTACTATGGAAGAGTTGTTTGGTCCCTTGGGGTTCTGTTATAGACAGGTTTGACTGTACTATAAATAAATTTTAAAAATTCAATAGTTTTTGATAAATAATTTGGAATAAATTTATATTTGTTAAAAAATACTTAAAAGACTCCACAAATTTAAAATTGTATAACAATATATTTGCTTTAATAAAATATAAAGTATTAAATATCATTAAAATTTAAGTTTAAGCTCTTCCAGATTCACATACATCTTCAGGAACACTTCAAAAAATATAAAATGCCATTACTACATTAATGCACTAAGAATGATTAGGTCATCATGAAACAAATGATAGTTTTTTATTGAAGATTTCTACATACAATTGTTTAATTTAACATAGAGTTAGAATTTAATAGAATTATCCTTATTATTTTGTTTAAATTGTAGAATATTGTCAGATCGTGATTAACTTTAAAAATTAAATTGAAGACAGTTTGTTGAAAATGGAATCACCATTTATTCAGTTTCAATGTTCTGGAATACTAACTTTTGATAACTAACCTTTCTTTGTAGGCTACTTTGATTGTACTAATTGGATATTGTTTCTTTATTTTTAAGGGAAGTTTTAATTTCAATTGCCAAGTAACCTACATAGAAAGGTTTTCCTTTCAAATTTAATATTTGATGATAAAATTTGAAAAAACCTTTGATTTTTAGGGAAATGAAGACATATCATCTAGTAGATTTGCAGATAATGAGGTATCTTAATTAACTTTTATTATACTACTGCAATTTATAGGTTAATTATAAGGTAAAATATTTTTTTTAGGAGTTGCGTTATTCTCTGAGATCTCTGGAAAAACATGCACCATGGATTCATCATGTTTATATAGTTACAAATGGACAGATTCCCCATTGGTTAAATCTTGATAATCCTAGAATATCTATTATCACACATGAGGTATGTTTTTATAAAAGTAATAATAACACAGGTCAACAAAAAAAAAAATTTTTTTTGGTGCCTAGGATTTTAGAACTGATTTTAGCTATATTTGGGTCGCTGAATCCAAATATGAAATCAATTTTTCTCTATCAGCTCTACTTTTTTAGTATTAGGTCTGTAAAACTTGTACAGAACATTTACGACAGTGGACTAATGGGAAAAGAAAAAGTCTGAAATTTGGCGTACCAATGGTTTGGAGAGAACCCAAAAATCACTTTAATGACTGTTATTTCTGTCTAGTAAATATTAATGGAATCAATCGTAACAACTGTAGCAAGTGGACTTATCCTGATTTAGTCTCTGCAAGACGCCCGGTCCCTCACTCACAGGAAGTGCCAGTTCCATCATTTCACCAGCTACCAGAGCTCTGTGAGGACGAGTATCCCTCTGATCCTAATGAAGGTGACTGTGATTACGAGAGAATGTCATCAATTCCTCAATGTTTCAACCAGGATGAGTTAAATGACCTCACCAGAGATCTTAACCTGCCAAAAGAAGCTTCTGAATTATTGGCTTCTGGGTTGAAGGAGAAAAATTTACTGGAGCAAGGAACCAAAATTACCTTTTACCGTACAAGAGAAAAGGATCTGCTACCCTTCTTCTCTCAAGAAGATAATTTTGTGTTTTGTCACGAAATTAGAGGACTCTTGGAAAAAATGGGCCTTCTTGAATATTTTTCAGATGATTGGCACCTATTTATTGACATCTCAAAACGAAGATTGAAATGTGTCCTTCTACACAATGGGAACAAATACGGTTCAATACCAATTGCTCAGGGGCGCCGCTAGCTGTTTGAACGCCTGTGTGCAATACCGGTTATGCCGCCCCCTGTTTAACTACGATTACCTATGCTGAGCTTGCCAGAAAGGCTCTTTGCCGCCCCCTGGACGTGCCGCCCACGTGCGGTGCACGCCTTGNTGTCTATACGCAGGCTTCCTAAACAAGCCTATATGTATGTTTGTCCAAAAAATTTTTGGATGAAATACAAACCGCACAACTTCAAAATCGCATAAAAATAATCCGCATAAAAAGAGACCTTACAGTATATAGATGACTAAACTACATAATAAGTAGGTAGTTTTCATTTAATTTGTTACCTTTTTTTGATATCTTAAAAAAATAACTTAGTTATATTACTTTTCCTTTGAAATGTATGTTCAGCGTTAATAAAAGTTATCAAAATGATTAATTTACTGTGTTTTTGTTATTTCTTACTCCTTTTTTAAGTATTCGGTATTCGGCCGAATAGTAACGAATATTCGTTGCATCACTAATATAAAAGTTATTTGTAAAATAAAACCACCTAACAGCCGGGAAGCTATGTAAATGCTTGCTGGATTTTTCCTAAGTAAATAAACACTTCGTTAGGTTTTAATTAAACAATAAATTTTAATTATTGTTAGTAGTCGCTACTCGAAATATATTTGATCAAATAAACTTTTAATTAAATTACTTTGTTTTAAATAGTCGCGTGTTCATCTTAAAATGGAAGAATAAAAATAAAAAAGGGCCACCAGTGGCCAAGCAGTCTTCGTTCCCTAACACTGGGAATTCGGTCGTGGGATCGCGCCTCGCTCGGACGGGCTGGCCACGTAGAGTTTTTCGGGTTTCTCCAAGTCTGTTACGCCTAAATAGGGCCATTTTTCCTTAAAAAGACCCGGAAGGCACCCTTCCTAGTCAGATCGCCCAAGTGTTGCGTTGCCATAACCAAACAAACAAAAAAAAAAATCAGAAGTGATAATTTAAGCATATATAATAGCTTAAATCTACTGTTAAAGAAATAAATTATTGCGTAAATAATATTAAACTTCGTACACACAAACGGAATATTTTTTTTTCCATTTTTTGTTCTTGAGGTCTCAAAACGTTTACAAAAATCTCTGAGGGTCAAATTTGACACAATTCCAATGTTTTCCCTTATTATGTGTAAATAAAAGCCGGGAAAGTAAAATTAAGAATGTTTAGAAATGCATTTAACTTATTGATACAGAATATTTTATCTTGTTTAGAAACATTTACATAAAAAGTTAAAGAAAGAAATGTCTTATTATTTACTTTCAAAATTAAAAAATATTAAGTGGGGTCATTGACTCTCACCATTGCAATTAAAGGTTAAAAACCCTTTCCTTTGCACACTTTTAAACAAGTTAGAATATTCTAGCTTGTCGCCTTTACATAACACTTATGGCACGCTCCTTCACTAAAGGGAAAATGGCGAACGTGTATTCACTTTTTTTTTTAAACATGGCGTCGTTACAGCCACTGTATGTAGTGTGTTAATTTATTTATAAAGAAAGAAAGGTGATGTCTGTATTCTAGCTCGTTGGTAATAACTATTCAAAAGCATTTTAAATATTATAGTTTCTTTTTGTATAGCAATTACTGTACAGTGGAACCCCGGTTAACGAACTTAATCCGTTCCGCGACTCCGTTCGTTAACCGAATTGTTCGTTAACTGAAGCAATTTTTCCTATAGAAATCAATGCAAATGCAAATAATCCGTTCTAGAAATTTTTGTGATTTTATTTGTAATATACAGTAATTATCTTTGATGAAAATGTAAGAAAACGTAGTATCTATCGTTACAACAACAAACATGTAAACTTTGTTTAATAAAATAGCACTGTACATACCTTCGTTTGTTGTAGTTGGTGGCAGAAAAGTGGAGATGTACGAACCTTAATGCTTACAAGGGGAATCCCCACCAAAAAATAACGGGTAGCACTTCATTGGAAGATTCTTCCAGTCGAAGTCTCTTTCGGTTAAAAAAACCCACCAGTGGCTAAATGGTCTTTGCACCTTGAACACGGGGGAGTTCGTTCTTGGGTTCGCACTTCATTCAAACGGGCTGGCCACGTAAAGTTTTCCGGGTTTTCTCCACGTCTGTAATGCCTTAATATGGGCCAGTTTCCCTTAAAAACACCTCCCAGAAGGCATTCCCCTAGGCAGATCGCACAAGTGTTGCGTTGCCATAACTTAACAAACAAACAAACTCTTTCCGTAAGGAACAAGAAATTGATCTAAAGTTGATTGTCTTACTATTAATATTTTAATCAAAATTTTTCTCAAATGCAATAGCGCATTGTCGTTTATATTGCGTTGTCGTTTTCTATTGCCACTATGACTTTTTTTTTCTTGGATGCCATATTGATTAAATATATAAATCACAAAACTGAAAAAAGAAGCATAGCACAAACACTCGGAAAAGCAATGCTTAACTCGCGCATGGCTAACACCAACTAAAATTTGACACAAAATACCGTTACGTTCGTTATCCGAATTTTGTTCGTTATCCGAGACAAATTTTTTGCAAAATAAAAGTTCGTTAACCGATTTGGTCGTTAACCAGGACGTTCGTTAACCGGGGTTCCACTATATACGCCTGTAATTTACAAACCGTTCGTTCTACATAAAACCTACAAACAAAATATTTCTCCAATTATATTAATTGGAATAAAATAAATTACAGATTATGAAAATTTATTAAATGTACTTCGTTTTATGTAATTTATAGGGTTTATTATTCTCCCACTTAAAGATCGCCTATTATTAAACGTTATTTGTTTTTCGTGGCGTGACAATCTTTCTAGTGTACCATAAGGCATAGAAAAATCGACGTCAAAAATTATTTAAAAAATTAATCAAACAATACAACAGAAAATAACATTTTTGAACTTTATTGTTTGTATTTTGTTGGAAAATGTTCGATTCAGAAGTTGAAAATTAAACAGAAGCTAGACTTGCAAAGCGCGGAATATGCCCTGCCAAACTAAAAAGGAATTTTGATAACGGTACTTTCTTAATATTGAGTGTAATAAGTAAGCAGACTTAAAAAACTTTCAGAGTGCTAATATTTTATATTTTTGTAATGAAATTCACTTGTATATTTTTGAAATTTTACATCAAATGGAAGATTTCATGTTGATTTATCAAATAAATTTTGCTCAGCAATGAAAATCATCTTGAGCAAGAATAAAGTTATTTTCGTTAAATTAGAGAGATTAAAAATAAGGTTAAAATATTTAAAATATTAATAAAAGTTCTAAGAATTAAATTTGGATATAAAAATTGTTTTTTTAATATAAAAGAGATGGGGATAAAGTGACTTTTTAAATATAAGATAGCGTGTTGCTATGAGATGACTTCGATTTAATTGTTTTAAATTCATATTTTTATTTATTTCTGAATAAATATTTATGGTAAACTGGGAAATGTTTTAAAATTATACATAAAATTGGATATTTGTAGTAGTGATTTAATACTTTGACGTAGAAATTTTGACGTAATGCGTGCTATATTTATCGAGACGTCATATTTATCTAACAATTATTTCCAATTGTTCTTTTTTCCATTATTGAACTGGCGTGCAATAATAGAATCTCTCCAGAAATTCCGACTTATCTACATTGTACTTCGACGCTATTTGAATATGAATATCTCGAGAAGGTAAGTATTACTTCTTTTCTTGGTCTGTGATTAAAATTGAATTTCAGCAAACGAAAGACAAAATGAAAAATCAACAGTCATTGGGCGAATTGGAAGCAATAATCAGTAAAGTGATTAATTTTAGAATTTTATTGTTGCAAAATGTATTAGCAGACGTGGATTTAAATCGAAAATCGAGACATTGGACGATTCGAAATGACTTTAGGTATATGTAATTAATCTATTTAGAATATCTCAATATTAATCATATTTTTTATGTTTTAGAAAGTGAGGGACGAAATTAAAATCAGTCGATGTTGGACATATTGGTAATAAACTGCAGTTATGTGATTAATTTATTTAAAAAAATTGGATATTATATTATTGCTTAATTATTGACAGGCGAGGGTTGCAATCGAAAATCAACGGACGATGGAAAATGCAAAATTTGCTTAAGTAAATTCAGACGATTTTAAATTTAGAATTTTCATTAATAAAAATCAATTCAGAGATCCAGTTATTTCTTTAAACATATTGTATGAAAATTAGAGTTTAATATACGTAGAAGTTACATTCCGGTATCTGTAATTGGTGTTTCATGTTTGAATATCAATAGGCCATAGGGGATACATAAAGGAGACTATCTCTTTATTTTTTTTCCATAAATAATTTAACTGGTAAGTTAAATTCTTAATAAATATTATAGCCTAATCGATACAGAAACGAAAATTGTATTGTGTTACATAAGCGAGATTTTTATGTTTTGAACAGAAAACTTGACGGTATTAAAAGTCAAAAAACAGGAAAATGAATATTATCACTTATAGAATTGTAACATTTAAATCGGACAACATTAATAACATAAATTCATGATATAAGAAAATCTTTCAGAAATAATATTGAGCGATTTCCTCAAATCAGTTTCTTCTCTGGAATAAATAGAATAACGAATAAGCATTTGTATTTTATCTACTACACATTTATTTATTTCTGAAAATAATATTTAATTTTTTCAAATAAACAATTAAATTCGTTAATTTTGATATATATATATATATATTACGTCATTGATCATTTAATTTCAGATATGTGACTAGAATATCATCTGGTTTGTACTGCTTCAAGATGGAATTTCTTTTGACATTTCTTTGTGGTAATACAAGAAGGAAGAATCGGGATAAGTAATTTCTAATATCTTTAATATGATAGTCTAATTCTTTTGCAAAATTTAATAAGTATATAAGCTTAGATTGTATAGTATTTAACATTATAATTTGACAAATCAGTATACTTCCTACATTCTTTTTTTTTAAATAATATTTCTCAAGTTATTTTTTTCGGAAAGAACTTTTACAGAATGGATATATTTTTATACTATAACTTATCAAATGAACAGTTAATATAATCAATGCAATATCCACAAACAGAGAAAACTAAAACACGCCGATAATGCTGACATATAACTTGCTCGTTTTATATATAGGATATGCTATGTTGTATTTAAAATACTCGGATTAGTATCAACCTTAAAAGATAAATTTATTAAATGAGACAACGATTCTATTACGAATTTGCAAATATTTTAAATTTTTTACTGTTATTCCATCATAACCTATAACAAAAGCAATTTGAAATTCATTACGTTGCATAATAGTAGAAAAATATTCATGCATAATGTCAATCATTACTAAAATTCTAGATAAAAATTCTATTTGAATCTATTTTTGTACCTTGTGTCTCCAATTCCTGTTTTTATAATTATGCCTATTTCTGAATGTAATAATTTCTAAATAAATCAACGATGCCTACCTAAGGCTCTCTGGGATTTCCTGCATTAATACTTAATTCAAAAATCCAGATGAAACTGATATTCTGAACTAAAAGCAGTGTTGCCGCAATGAAATTTCAAAACGTACTGAAGCGTCTTCAAAAAATGTACTATTTTCCTTCAAAATGTACTAGTTTTATGAATACTTTGTTTACGTGCCTATATATATATATAGGCACGTGCCTATATATTAATATAATATGCTATAAATTATGTGCCTATATATATATATATAGTTTATTGTCAAATAATTTAATTTTAAATCTTATTTTTGGAATTTTTTGAAAGCTATTTAAAATTAATAATATATCTACACATCTATTACTTATTATAAAATGAGCATTACATTGACAACATTTATTAATAATACTATTGAATTTCATCTTAATTTTATAACCAATCGTGCTTTAAAAAAATAATTATAAATTTGTTATATTATATTATTTTATTCTTTATTATACTTTAAATTTTTTTGATGTTATTGCATCACTTTACGAAGTGGTATATACGTAATTGCATCAGTTTTAGTACCTATTTAATTAATTTCAATCATGACAGCAAAAGATAAGGATGCTTGTTTCTTTTAAACTATTTGATGAAAACGTTACATAAAATTGGGGTTGCATAATCATCCGAAATTATTATTATATTTTTGACTGGAAATTACAGGATTTATGCAATTTTAGTTTAATTAATGTCATATAAAACTGACTGCTCGTACAAGTTTGCTTAAAACATGCAACTCAAAAAACCCCAAAATGGCAGCTCAAGAAGTAGATCACGCGTGTCCTGACCTTCTTATATAGACCTTGGAACAGTCGGAAGCGCGGCCATTTTGGAACCATACGTAACATTAACCCTTATTTCTTTTACTACGATTACTAAAATTGAAGTTCATAATTTAAGAATTAAATTATAGTGGTAGAAAATAATATAAAAGTATTTATATTATTTATACTCGTACAATTTCAAAACTATTTTCTGTAATAATTTGTTTCTGACTTAACGGATATTTTGATATTATTGACGACAAAAGTTTAAAATCATTGATTTCCTTACCTGTCCATTATTTTTGTTTGACGGAGTTGAATTGTTTGGACCACGTGGCATGAAAAATTTTGTCAAGGTCCTGATGAGAATGTGCAGACAACTGAACGTGTGAAAGAAGACCACTGAGTCAAGAACGTTTACACGTGCAACTATCTATGTTGCTGACGTCGACGGACACACACCATTTGTATGTTGTTATTGGATAATTTAAATTAGCAAGCAGTGACACTAGTGAGACTTTATTAAATTAATTTTTCTCACTTTTCGTTAAGGCGTGAAATATTATTTTGTACCGTAAATGGTACTTGAAATATTATAATGTACTGAAAATGTACTAAAAATCTAAATGTACTTACAATTTACTGGAAAGGGCAAAATGTACCAGAAAAGTACAAATATACTAGGAACGGCAACACTGACTAAAAGGTTGAGAAGGAAAGTTGATGAGGAGAAGAAATTTCGGTGAAATCCGGTGATCACAGGTTCTGTCGTAGATTTCTGAAAATTAGTGGGACTGATAAAATTACTAATGAGAAAGTATGGAGGAGATCTCAAGCCATTCCATGTCTTCTCTGGACTGTCAAAGATCGTAAAATAGAATTTGCAGGATATTTCTAACAGACTCTTCTTGCAAAAACACACTTTTTAACACTGGAGAGTTTTACTAAAAGAGACCTTAAATGCGATAGGACAAGGAGAAACTTGGTTTCAGAATTTCAAAGCTTAGACTAGCATTCCTATCTACCAAGTATCCAAACGAAAAGCAATTGATAGAAAAAGTTAACAATTTATGATGGAAAACCTTCGTAACGGCACATCATGACTAGGAAATGGATCAGCAACTTGGTGATATCATATATTATAATAATATAATAGTCTATATATTTTATAATTATATATTTTAGTATACAATATCTACCTGTATTTTTAAAATGTGCAAATATGTTATGAATTGTTTACATTTTTAAAGTAATCTTTTATTCGTTGCTAAATTTAACTTATAATGTCAAATCTGTATCGAGAATCCTTCTTTTTCAATAAGAACATTTGATTAATGACATAAAATTGGAGTTTTTGAGAACGATTTGAGTTTATTGAAATAATCGAATAGCAACGAATATCCACTTTTATTCTCTGATTGTTATTCTGTCAAGCAATCAGGGTCAGTTTCTGGAAACCAAAAAACTACCACAAAATGGGTGTCGCCTTGACGTGGCTTTGTGGCTTAATGTGTGAAAATTTTATTGAAGTTTTACAGATAATATTTTTCGCAGACTAAGTACATCCGACAGAAATTTCAAAAGTATTTTAAAATAATTTTTGTCAAGTAGTGTTTTGTCTCTTTCTTAAAAACTTACACAGAAACACAATGCATTAAATGTATCGAATATATCGTGACGATCTGCTGAGGAGAGGTGCCCCGGGAGGAGTTCCTGTGGGAACGTGGCCCCTATTTAGGTGTAAGATACGTGAAGAAACCCGAAAAACTCCTCGTGGCTCGCCCATTGATGTTTGTTTATGGCAACGCAACACTTAGGCGATCTGCTTAGAGGAATGCCTTCCGGGAGGTCTTTTTAAAGGAAACTGGCCCCTATTTAGGCGTTACAGACGTGGAAGAAATCCGGAAAACTCCTCGTGGCTTGCCCATTGATGTTTGTTTATGGCAACGCAACACTTGGGCGATCTGCTTAGGGGGATGCCTTCCGGGAAGTCTTTTTAAAGGAAATTGGCTCCTATTTAGGCGTTACAGACGTGGAAAAAACCCGGAAAATTCCACGTGGTCAGCCCGTCCGAGCGAGGCGCGAACTCACGACCGAACTCCCGGTGTTCAGGGAACGAAGACCGTTTGGCCACTGGTGGGCTGCGCCCATTGATGAGGAGCTAACCTGCAACCAGTATTTAGTGACTTCATTCACTCGGCCATTGACAATTCTAATCTGTCATGTTTACATAATTCTAATTCTATTATTTATAAATGAAAATCCTCCGGTTTCTTCAATTGAAATAATTTTGTGACAAGGCCGGATGACCGAGCGGGTAAGATGGCGACCTACTGCTCTGGAGGACCCGGACTCGAATCTGGACTGGTCGAAAAATCCCCAGGAATTTTTCGAGGGGTGTCCGTTCGGATATGTCGGGTCCCGTCCCTCACCACCCGGTCGTCCCATTGTGGGCTTGGCCGAACCTATAATGGGCCTGCTAAAAAGAGGCTCTTTTAGTGCCCACAGTGCGGAAAGAGTTTAAAAAAGTAAAAAAAATTAATAATAATTTTGTGACGTCCTATGAGAAGTTCTTGCATACCAATATTCCGAAGTCAACAGTTGAGAACCACTGCTTTAATCTAACAAAATTGAGAATGGAAACGAAGCAATTTTCAGTGTAGCCCACAAAATAAACTAATGGAATTCACCATTCTATAAATTAAAAATTTTTGGAAGTTTCAAGAAATCGGTCCATCAATAATTGTAAATTACAATTTCTATTTTTACATCGAAGAGATTTTTATTCATTAGATTAAATTGAAACGGATTTTTATTGCATTAAATGAAAGAATATAAACAATAATAAATTATGTATTATTAATGACTAGGCACCGGCATAGACAATAGGAATGGATAAGCACAACCTGTTTAGTCTTTTATATCGTAAGTAAAGTAAGATATAAGGCTAGGCCTCCACTTGTGATTTATAGTCACGGCGACTAATAAATCGCTGCCGCAGAAAATCTATAAGATGCACACACTGCGATAGATAATTCGTTGAATTAGAACAGTTTTCCAAAGTTCTTTGAAACTACTTGTGTGATCGCTCTTTTGCTTCGGGCGAGAAGTAAACGGCAGAGGCATCGTTATTGGGTACATCAATAACAAGTCTTTGTTTTTTTACTCTTTCCGCCCTGTGTGCACTAAGAGGGCCTCTTATAGCAGGCCCATTATGGGTTCGGCCAGGCACACAATGGGCGACCGGTGGTGAGGGACGGGGCCCGACATATCCGAACGGACTCCGAAAAATTCCTGGGGATTCCTTGACCCGTTCGAATTCGATCCCGGGTCTTCCAAAGCGGTAGGCTGCCACCTTGACCGCTCGGCCATCTGGCCTACAATATATAACGGGTGTCGACGTCTTCCGTGCTCCGAAAAGTTTCAAATTGTTGCCTGAAGGCAAGGGAAGACCACTCTGTATTCATTATGTTACGTCGCTTCTTCTTGTGTTTGTTCTGTGAGGTGTTCGTTGTCCGAACAAAAAATCTTTAGCGAAAGTGTTCGTTATCCGAACTGTTCGTACCACTGTAGTTAAAATTTGGGTTTGTAAATATTTTTAAATACTGTTTTTTCTTTATCGAAATTTGTTCCCTCCCTCTGGGTGTCCCCGATAGTAACGCCATGACTACTTCGTAACCGAAATAAATTACAGTAGTCTGATTGATCCAATCGCAATTCCTCAGAATTGTGTTGTCCGCTAGATGGCAATATGAGTCGTGTCGGCAAACATGGCTGCCTCCACGGATAGCATGTGTTCCGCTACGTGTAAACAAACTCCATCAAGAAACTCCATATATCGTAAAACACACGTTACTGCATTAAAATTTTACGACGATTACATACTTGTCGGTAGGTTTAGGTTTATATAATTTAACCTACGCTTATAAAAGTAAAGCTATTATATAATAATTCACAAAAGTATTTTTATACGTTAAACCTTAAACCCGTATGTTCGTGAAAATACAAAACTAATTTTAATGATATTTTCACTTTCATAACCGCATAAAAGTGAATGATTATATCAGGCAAACATTGCTATTTCTAGCTTTGTATTGAAGATACTTTATTGAGAGTATTAATTATTTTTCATATTTTGAAAATACTTATAAGTAATAAAAAAAAAGTAAGTGATAAGTAATAAAAAAAAGTAAGTGATAATTAAACCCTGTTTCTACACAGTTCTTGCTCTTGCACGTTTCTGTAAAAAAATGAAAATTATTGCTTGATCAGCTACTAAACTTGGATTAGGAATGTCTGTGTACGACCAAAGGGCGAGAAATAGACAAACAAAACGAAATTAATTACTAAAAATACAAAAAAGTTTATTTACTTGCTTGGTTGATGCAGGTTACAATTTCGTTTTTTTATTACTAGAGGAATTAGATGTATTTTTACCAATCAATTTCATTTTAAACCACATTTTCATTATATACTTTGATAGCTGGCATTTAAAGGCTTATTTGTAAAAATTTTGTTTGATTCTGTACAATTTTTTTCTTTCGGTGTCTCATGAAATATGGTAAATTGAATGCATTATTTTCAGCATATTTTGCTTTTTTATTACCAAAAATTCAAAATGCTATTCAAGCAAGAAAAAAATTGTGGTACATATATGGAGAAGATGTGTTGATAGAAAGACAGTGCCAAAACTGGTTTACAAAATTTTGTTCTGACAATTTCAATATTGAAGATGCACCGCATTCTGGATGGCTAGTTGAAGCCAAAGAAAAACAAAATAAAGGTACTGATTGAAGCAAACTGTTGAATAACAACACATCAAATCACTAAGAGATTAAATTTGATGAATTGAACCGTTTATGATTACTTGAAATGAATTGGTTTAGTTTCAAAGCTCTATGTGGGTTCCACATGTTCTTAAAGAGAGATGCTCTCTGGTGGGATTTTAAGAAAAAATTTTTTTTTTTTGAGATTTTACCAGACAATTTAGCAATTGATTCAAAAGTGTACTGCCATCAAGTAAACAAATTGAATAATATCATCAAACAGAAAAGGCCAGAATTGGTCAACAAAACAAGTGTAGTGTTTTACCATGATAATGCCAAATTTCTCACAAGTTTGGTCTTGTCAGAAACTGTTACAGCTTAGATGGGATGTGCTATCACACCAACCATATTTGTCAGATCAGGCACCTCAGATTATTACTTGTTCCAGTCTTTACAAAATTTTTTAAACCATAAGACGTTTATTTGAAATGAAAATGTCAAAAATTACTTGGATCCGTTTTTTGTAAGCAAACATCAAAACTTTTATAAACATGGAATCATGCTACTACCAGAAACGATGGCAACAGGTATTTGACCAAAATGGTCAATATATAATTCAATAAAATATTTATTTATTATAAAAATATTGTTTTTTTTGCCAAGGAAAAAAACCAAAATTACTTTCCCAACAATCCAATAGAATTACTTGAATCATTACAAACTTCATTTTTTCCAAATTTTATGAATATTCTATGTTTATTAACATATGAAAACAGTCTGTAAAGATATATATAAGTAATTTGTTAAACTTATTATTTAACAATATACATATAATTTTATATAATAGAAATAATGTTTTGAAGCTAATTATTTTTTGCAATCAAAACTATTTTGCATAATTCTGACAACCACTAAATGGACTGATACTGATACTAAACTGAATTATTTCTATCAAAAGTTTTTTTTTTGTAAACTCAGTCCTCAAAGTTAGTAGATGCATTTTGTATAATTGATACTAATGAATTTATTAATGATATTCAATAAATTAATATGTATTAAATTAAAAATTTTGTAATTTAAAAAATATAGTAATATAAATATTTTGCACAATATTAATTGGGTAATTTATTTTAGGTGAAGGTCATACTCTGGAATTGTTTAATCTTTGTGATTTAATCTGTATTCAACGACTACAGATTTTTAAAAATTGTAACATTCATGGAATTGTGACAGGTAAGCATGATTGAATTACAGAATTGCATAGGAATTAGAATTAGTTTGGATAATACAATATATATCAATAGTATGAAGATTTTACAAAAAAATTTCTTTTGTCTTTGATTCAATTTTTTTAACAAACATTGGCATTTTTGTATGTAAACAACAACTCAACAAATCCAATTTTTGATTAACCTCTTAATGTGCAGACCTGAGATAACTCGGAGATGATACCGGGAAAAATGTGCAGACCCTGAGATGACTTGGCTGACAATACTGGCAGAAACACATCAACCTCAAGTTAACTTTAGCAAACATCAGATATAATATTAAATAATGTATCGCACATACACAAATAAATGTGGATAATGAAAAATAATCTTGAGAAAATCATAAACGTATAAAAGGATGGTTATTTTTTGTACTTGCATTTAATTTGAATAAATTTTGTAACTTGTCATAGTAGACTTATTCTGCATATTGACTTATATATTATATTAATATATATGAATTCAATCATTGTGTACTAATGCAAAAGAAGATAAAATTGTTTTTGATTAACTCATTTCTTGTTTGGCCTTATATGTATAAGTACTATACACAATTATGTTCCAATAATGATTTTTATGGATAAAATATAACTACATATTTTTTTTTGGATGTGAAGCAAAGTGTGCATTATGGCATGTCTTGCTTCTAGCAAAGCATTGCATTATCACATGTTTATGTCAATAAAAGCATAAAGGGACTAAAGCTAGATGATCTGCCAAATTATCAGACTATGATTAAGCTAATGATTTTTTGAGTTGTTGTTTATACAAATGCACACACCATGATAAAGCGATGACTGGCCGAGTGCCATGGAGGAGGTCCATGGACACTTAAAGTCATCTTCAGTTGGTACCACGAGTAATCTATACGGTTATATCTAAGTTAATAGTTTTAGAAGTGAAGATTAGATAGAGGTTCAGATAATTTGCAACATGTCTACACAGTAAGCAGAAGTTGCAGTTCAAGTCCTGTTCCACATCAATTATTTTCTTCCAGAAAGTCTAAATTAACTATTAAAATTATTACAAGATAATGACTTAACCACTTATCTGTAGACAAAATATTTCATATATAATTATTAACTTAGCCTAATCGTAGCCTGATAATTTGGCAGATTATCTGATTGACATTTTTATCTTTTAGAGTTATTACATGTTGAATTAATAAACTTAAAATAGCTAAACTTATTTTTTTTATTGATCAAGATCTTTTGAATGGTTTCCATATTCAGAATCAACTAAAAAACAAAAATAAATGAAAAAAACAGGTTAAATCTAGAAGCAAACTATTTCAAGTTTATTAATTTATTGAATGTGAAAAGTTGAAAAGTTAAATTTAAAATAAGTGATGTGTAAAATCACAATGTGTAAAATAAATTACACATTGTGATTTTTCTTTCATTATTTCTTTATAAAATTTAAAGTTTAGGGTAATTAAGAATTTTAGTTTAAATTCGTAATTTCATATTATATTTGTATATTAATTCAAACTCAATGACAAACTTTATTCTAGATGTACTAATTCTAAATAAACTTACATAAAAATAGAATAGTTTTCCTGTAAGTCTATTTAGCTTCTTTAGTTTGTAAAAATAATATCTTGCTAAAAAATTATAATTATAGTTTTTGAACACAGGGAAACACCTTATTAAATTTCATAAGATATTCATTTCAAAAGTATGTAGTTACAATGTCAATCGAATAATGTGATTAAATTAATGAATTAGCTGAAAATGTATAATTTTATATCTACATTATGTTTGAATATTTTCAATGATATTTTTAACATATTGAGACTTCAAATTTATAAAGTTAATTTTCTATAAACTATTTTTTGTAATATTGATAAAATTTATTTTAATACTTATTATAATTATTTAAATACAGTATTTTCTTTTAATGTAATAATTATAATAATTTTATTATTGGGGATTTCAGATTCATCATCAGAGAAATATCTTGCAATATATGGTGCTAAATCATTAGTAATTGCTAAACTTTTTAATGATGAGAATGTAAGGTAAAAAAAACATTAAGAATAATTAGATTTAAAATATGATTATAAAGACAGTTTATTTATATCAATTTTTTCTTTACAGGATTGAAATACTTAGTCCAGTTCAACAATTAGAAGATTGGATTTGGGATGTTCAATGGTTACATGATACTGAATTTAAAAATCAATGTTTAGCTGTTGCATTAGCTCATAATTCTGTAATTTGTTGGAACTGGAAGAATGAAAACAGTTTTTTAAAAGCAGAGGGCAGCGATAAGTGTATTTTGTATCTTTTTTCAAAAATTTTATTTTCACAATATTTAAGACTTAGTAATTAAAAATATACACTCACTGACCAATGAATTAGAAACAGCAGTTTAATATTTTACTGGACTTGTAGCTTGAATTACATCATTTTCTCAATTTAGCTTCGCTTTTACAATGTGCTGAAGTGCTTCTAAGTCCAATGCACACTAAGCAGTCACTAGATTTTCCTTTAGTTTGCTTAGATTTGACAAAAGTGGACTTTGCTGGCAGATCTGTCATTATAACATGTCCCATATGTTCTTGATGGGATAAAGATCTGGTCTCTGTAGTTACCAGGATAGGTGGAAAAAGTTGTCTTCGTGCTCACTGAACCACTGCTGAACAATTCTTGCATGATGGATAGTAGCATTGTCATTAAAGAAAGAGCTGCCATATACAGGGAAAAAATGCAGCATTGCAGGATGAACTTGATTGGCAACAATGTTCAGGTACTCATTGGAAGTCATCTGATCTTTCAGGAATCTATCTTTTTTCCATCCCAACAGAACATGCACCATACCATAACAATTTCACCAGAACATTGAGTTGTGTTAATGAGGCAAGCAGGGTCCATTGCTTCATGGGGCTCCCTCCAAACCATCTGTCTACTGTCAGTACAGAATAAGGTGTACCATGATTCATCTGACCACATTACTTTTTCCAGTCCTCAGATGTCCAATCATGGCACTCTTGGCATCATTGTAGATGAACTTTCCAGTTATTCACAGAAATCAGTGATTTTCATATAGGCCTACAACTGTTCATACTGATTCTTTTCAGTTCCCTGCACACAGTTTGGGTAGATAGGGTCAGGGATGGGATTTATTAAATTCTTCCATCAATTGCTACACAGAGAAAGTCTTTTTTTCCACACTAGCTTTTACAATGTCAGTTGCATTCCTGAATAACTGTTTTGGAGCTTAATTGTTTCTTTCAGACATCAACTGCAGGCTATTTTTCCATCAATTGAACACTCAGGATGTCTCACCTTTGGAAAAAACTAGTCAGCTCTACAGTTCTTGATATCATGGCTCCAACAAGACAGGCAGGCACCCACAATCAGCCTTTTTTGAAACTCTGTCAAGTCCTTTGTTTTTCCCATTTTCATAAACTTAATGATCATACTGACCAACAGCATTCTTAAATAGGAGCTTATGAACACATGGTAACTCACATGACTCAAGTGTTTTGCATATAAGCTGCAAAATTACATTTACTTAATATGCATGGGAGTTTGTAATTCATTGGCCAGTGAGTGTATGTATATGCACAGTACATACACACTGGGATGATCAAATGAAAAGCTTACTTGTAGGAGCTAGCTATTTTTGTTACTGTCCTGCTGTGCCAGAAGAAACACTTAAATCTTGAACATTTATTTACTATGGTCTTAAGAGATAACATTTGAAACTTATTAGAGAGGTTATGGCCAAAGTTTTCATCTCTAAAACATGAACGCCACCATCTTTCAAATTTCATTCATATTCATACACTAGAATCTCTTTATAAATTACAAGGATATAATAACAGTGTTTTAAAGCAAAATTTATAAGATTTTATTCAAATAAATACATTTAAGTTTGATATTCTTTATTTATTAGGGGAAGAAAAGAAACTAGAAAGACATTCACTTATCAATGTGTACTTCCTTAGATGCTTTCAAAAATTACATAGTATTTGAATTTTATATATTCAAGTTTTCTATTTCTGAAATGTTTCTAAAAGCTTAAAACACATTCCTTCTCAATAATGCAAAATTTGATTTAATAGTTTAATTCAGGATGCTAAGCTGCAGCAAATAATTTAATGTCTTAAAAAAATTGTATTTAAATTCATCAATAATAATAATGTTTTTACAATTTTGTTTACATTCTATTCTTTTTTACTTTTCCAGATGTTACAGAATGTAACATAGGGAAAATATGGTGATTAATCAAATTTTGACCTGAGTTTTTCATTCTTGACATTTTTACACTCAAAGAGCAAAAATGTAAAAAAAATCTTACAAAATTTTGTGCGCGTCTGTCAGCATCTATTTTGCATTATCTCAAGACTGGATAAACTAAAAATTTTGAAACTTGGCAGGACTATTTCTATATATATAGGGCATTAATACTATTAAATTTTGGTGGTTAAAGGTCAAAGGGGCAATAGATGGGAGATGTGTCATATCTCGAGTGGGGTTGGACTTAATAAAAATTTTACTCATTATTGACATTTACAATTTTTTTAAAAACTCATTACTATGTTCTTTTTATAATAATTAATAATATAAAACTTATTTTTTAATAACATCTCATAACAGATGGCACCACATACAATTTTAACCTTCAGCTAGTGTCATGGTATTTTATTTAAATTTAAATATTATTTTGAATGGAGATTTTTATCATAATTTAACAAAATTACTCTTGTTATTATTTAAATTTTATATTGTAGTATAATTGAAAATTATTAGCCTTTCTAATGTTCTCCTTAGCCTCCTGTTTGAATGCTAGGAAGGTCAAGCAACAACCCTTCCTAGCCTCCTTTTATGTTTGGATTATTTTTGATTTCCTTAATATGACAATAGATACTGTGGAAAACTGATTGGCAAGCATTTGAAAAATTTAATTTTTGCAGCTGGAACTGTATTTAAAGAGGTGGTTATTTGGGCACCATGTGATATTTCTAATAATATGAATACAGTGAAACCTCTTCATAGATTACAGGGGCATGAGGTAAGGTTACTAAAGAATTTGAAATATAATAAGAAATGTTTATAAAATGTAATTATATTTTACTGTCAAAAAGTTCAGTACTATGTATATACAACAATACTTTTTTTTAAATTACTTAAATAAATAAAACACCAATAAGTAGTTTCACTTTTATTATTAAAATCATCTTTAGGTTATGATAGTCAAATCATAGATCAGAATCAATACAAAAATTTTAATGTGTAATAAAAATGATAGTATTCATTAATTTTTAATTTATTTAGATAATTTAAGAAAAAGTATTTTTTATAAATAGACAAATAAAGATAGTAATGTGTAATAATTGCAGAAGTAAATATATTAAATATTGTATACAGTGTTTAAAATCAAAGTCAGACTTTGATTATCAAATAAAATTTGTGAGTAAATATTTCTTTATGGTAAAATTAATTATTGTGTTACAATTGAATTATATTTTAATTATGCAGTTATATATTATTATTAATTAATGCTTTCTACAATTTACATTTCACTTTAATTTTTATTTAACATTTTTTATATGTAGGGGATTATATTTTCTATCACGTTTAATTCAAAACTTAGGAAACTTTCAACAACATCCGATGATCGTGTTGTAAGAATTTGGAAATTTTGTACTACTACTAAACATCTAGATCATTTTAATGATATAAATTTATCTCTCAAAGAATGGAAAGATGGATATTTTGAATTACTTCATAATTTCTATGGACATGAAGCTAGAGTTTGGACAGCAGCATTATTACCTTATTGTGTCCTTAGTGTTGGAGAAGTAAGTTTACATCTAATTCAGTTATGTTTAAAACATTCACTTCCAATATAAAAACCAATCATTCAGCTATGTATTTATAATAACCATTCATAACCATATAATCATTTCATATTTTAATATGGTAGATCCCCCTATAAGACGGTAGATACGTTCCGTTCTTTATGAATGTGATTTTGTAGGAATCACAGCCCGACACGTGTGAAGTTTACGGACTACGGCTGTTTGAAAGGTTTTCTTCCATAAAATTAATCGATTCTAGACTAATCCGACTCAACATTTCCAAAATACGTATATTTATTTTGGAAATAATCCGTATAAACTAAGCTATAAACAAAAAATTGTAGGATTACTTACCGAGTGTGCACCATTCGACGTCGCCGTTGCTCAAGCTTGTTTTCATCGTGGAATAGCTCAGCAAACCGTGGCCGTGATTTTTGATGTTATTTTTCTGCGAAAACTTCGCTGAACTTTGGAGACATCATTAATATAAATAATTTTTATCGCCGTTGAATAAGAAATGTTTCTTTCACAAGAAATGTATAAAATTACAGTACTGTATTAGACTTACGGAACCCTAATTTACATACTGTACAGATGATAGTTCGCCTAAACTCTCCATAGCATGGCGCCAGGCGGCGGAAAGCATATATATAATTATAATAAAGTTACAATAAATTAATATATAATTATATATACAGTACCTAATTTATATATAATTAATATATAATTATATGTACAGTACCTAATTTGTATATAATTATATGTACAGACGAAACTAAACTCAATTTACCTGCTTAAACGTCTGTAGCGTGGCACTACGGACGGCGGGAAAGTAGTTCGGCTGCCTGATGACGTTTTACGTAATTATAGGAGTTTTTTTATCATTGTGTATGGATACCGCCACAATTTTTTCGCCGTCTTATAGGAATCGTAATTATAGGAACCAGTCTTATAGGGGGATCTACTGTATTTAACTTTTTCCAGGGATTAACACAACATAAACACAAGATACATTTTAAAAGTAAAATTGACTTGTGCACAAAAGTGAAAATACATAATTGTGTCAGTGAATGCTGATTGGCTAGATTTCTTTTTTCTTAGGTCGAGTTCTATATTATACAAGCATAATAATCTTCTATTTTGAATCTCAACATTCAGTTAACCAATTATTGATAAATTTGTTTGCCTAAAATAATTCATTAATGTTTATTTTGTAAACTTATCTTTTATTTTAAAAGTTATTAATTAAATTATTAATGATTTAAATAATAATTTTAAAATAAGAAAAACTGTGTTTTCTTGTTTCTTTTATTAAGTTACTAAAATTTGAAAGTAATATTCTGAAATATAAAAATGAAATCCAAATATATTTTAAAAATGCATTGAAATGAAAGTAATTAATATATTGTGATTCACAGTTAAAATGTTCTGACTTTTCATAATCCAATGAATATAATCATTATAGAATATGGAAAGAATGATTATAATCTCTGTGGTGCTTCTTTCAAGTCAAGAGCTTTGAAGGAGTACCACAGTAGTCATCTTAACAATCCCAGCGAGGATCATATTGAGAGAACTGCATGGCTGACTCTTGGGTATCTCTTTGAAGAGAACAAGGGTTCCTGATTGCCATACAAGACCAGATCATACATACAAGAAACTACAGAAGACACAACATTCACAGATGGCACTTGTAAGAAATGCTATATTATGCATGAGACTATACAACGTTACATTGGATTACAAGCTTTTAACACAAACTGACTACTTAGGCTACATTGATATAATCAAATGGCAAATATAATATGCTAAAGCTTGCATGTAATCATAAACTTATAACATTCAGGAACCATACTACAGTAAATGCGTACGACTAGTATACATGCAAAATTCGAATTTTGTCATTCAGAGGTATATGTTTTTTTTTCAACTTCTATGTCTAGATGTAAACTTGTATAAATCATGTGATAATGCAGGTTTTGCTAACACAATTTCCTATAACACGTAATGTATAGCCCACATTGTACGAGACTCCACTGTACAAATACATAACTCAGACAGTCATGAAAAACAACACAGAAAATATACTGTAACTGAGTCATAATCACAAACAATACAATATATCACAATAGACCAGACATCACATTTATTGACAAACAAAACAAAATTGCACCCAACATAGACATAGCTGTACCAAACATCTACAACATACAAAATATACACACTAAAAAAATTATAAATATTCAACTTGTTTTTAAAAATTATAGATAAAACTAGTTTGAAAGTTGTAATTTATGCCAGTTTATTAATTTAGTTAATACTTATAAATACATATTCTTGAATAAGAAAAATTAACTCAAATTCACATGTCTATGAAATATAGCATTTGTGAAGAATGGTTGAAGTATGTGTTGTGCCAAGAGCCCTTTGTAGAAGTATTGTACCATATACCTTACAGCAAAGTCTTGAAATATTAGGTCTTTACAACAACACACATGTCACACTGTAGATGGGTGCTGTACTAAACACGTCTCATAGGAATTTCTTAAACACTTATTTATATTTAATACATAAAAATATAAATACGACTTTTAAACAAAGTTAAAAACTTTGTGTCTGTCCTTCCTTTTCGCCGTTTTTCACCATCAGCAATCCTTTAAAAAAGTTCACAAAATTACGGAGGCGACCTTTCCTTTGAGGCTACTACCTCCGCAAGAAAATGTAAAAATAGGTAGAGCGTCCTCTGGTGTTTTTGCCACATTCACAATAATACATTTTAAGTAAAAATAAAATTCATGGCCGGCGTTATTTACATTTAATACATAAAAATATAAATACGACTTTTAAACAAAGTTAAAAACTTTGTGTCTGTCCTTCCTTTTCGCCGTTTTTCACCATCAGCAATCCTTTAAAAAAGTTCACAAAATTNGCTCTACCTATTTTTACATTTTCTTGCGGAGGTAGTAGCCTCAAAGGAAAGGTCGTCTCCGTAATTTTGTGAACTTTTTTAAAGGATTGCTGATGGTGAAAAACGGCGAAAAGGAAGGACAGACACAAAGTTTTTAACTTTGTTTAAAAGTCGTATTTATATTTTTATGTATTAAATGTAAATAACGCCGGCCATGAATTTTATTTTTACTTAAAACTTATTTATATGTTGTTTATGTATGTATCAAATATTTTTTTTTCCTGTAGTTTAGACCAAAGCCTTGACTTTGGTCTAGCAAAGCATCCAGGTATCGGTATGTATGCTATACAGCAGGGGTGGCCAACTTTGTATACATAAGATCTACTTTTTATCTTAAAAATGTGTTGCAATAGACTTGTTCTCATTGGCATAGTCTAAGTGGATTGGGGAGGTGTGAAATACATACTATGTTTAGATGGGTAAGAAACGCCACAATTTAATTTAAAACATGAAAAAAAGGTACTTACATTTTAAACAGAAGACAAATTGAGACTCAACGTTGTCACTTTCAGGACCACCACTTCATTCTTCCTCTCTCTACCGTGTCCGACCTACTCTCTCTGTCCCTCTTACCACCTTTCTTTTTTTTTTTTGGTTTTATGACCCTTTATCTACATTTCTTATTTTCCTTTTACAACTGTATGCAAATGGATTGCACACGGACTGATGAAACCGCATCTGAGGGAGGACACGGAGGTCCGATATCACTACAGTTGTGTTTATGCGTTGTGTTCAGTTACAAGTGTAACACATTAAGTCAAGACACTGCAATCAATCAACTTGTTGGCCACCCCTGCTATACAAGATACACTCTGCCAACAATGTAATAATAATAATAATAATAATAACACAACAACAACTTTCCCGTAGTCATCACCTGGTCGTGGTGGAAGAGCCCAGTAATTTTACTGATCCATAGGGCAATCCAGGCTGGAGCACAAGCTTCTGGTAGGGACACCCATGCCAGTAAGGTCTATGGGGAGAAATGAAGCTAAGAGTGACCACACACCCACATTCTGTGGAGATAATCATTATGGTAGTAACCAGATCTAAGTATGATACCGGCTCGGACGTCGCCCGGGTTAACAAGGTCCGCGTTCGTGGGTTAGGCAGAGGCTCACGTTCGAAAAATAGGCTCCAGTCTCCCTTGGTTACCGGTGGCGAAAGCAGCGCCGGCCCAAGCATGGCTACTGCAATGCCCTCAACAGATGTGAGGAATCAACCTAGCCTTGGTGTTTCTGTGGCAATGCATCCACAGACCACAAAGGCTGGAAAACCACGCCAACGGATGAAATGGACAACAGAAATGAACGAGTTTATCATCCGCACTTACTACACCATCACAAGACTCGAAACAAACATGACAGCATACAGACAACAACTACACCACATATTCACACAACAATATCCTCACCTCACTGTCACCGAACAAAGGGTTGTTGATCAAAAACGAACAATTATACACAACAACCTTATCCCACAAACAACACTTGAACTTATCAAACAACAGGTTGCTGATCAAATACATCAACAGACAGAAACATTTAACATTAATGAAGATCACGTAACCTGTCAGGATAATACAGCAACAAGCACTGATTACAGCACACACACAACAAGTACCACTAATGATACTGCAGGCACTTCCCCATCCATCACTGATAACATAGACATAGAATTAGTTAATACGCTCTCACTTATATTTCAGGAAACAATCATTAAATATACTGGTACAGATCCCACACAAAGACCACGAATACCAAAAATCAACACGTCAAAGGCAGTAGGAAAAACACTAGATTATGTAAACACTCACTTACTACCAAACTACATTAATTCAATTTCTACACTTACAGACATTCATACATTAGTTTATGCTGGGGCAGTCACAGTAGTAACACACCATGGACTGAAAATACACTCACAGACAGACGCACACAAAACACAATTCTATCATAAGCCTGCCTGGCAGAGAAGAATAGAAACACAAATAAATGACATTAGACAGCAATTAGGCAGGCTGACACAATAC